CTGAGCAGTGCTGAGTAGAGTGGCACGATGACTTCTTTATCTCTGCTGATGATGCCCTTGTTAATGCAGCCCAGCATCCTGTTTGCTTTCTGTGCTGCTGCAGAGCTCTGTGTGCTCCTGTTGAGCCTGCTGTTCACCGAGACCCCCAGGTCCCTCTCTATGGGGCTGCTCTCCAGCCAGGTGGATCCCAGTCTGAGCTGCATTTGTGGGTTGTGTATTCCCAGGTGCAAGACCTTATGCTTATCTCCACTGAAATTCATAAATTTTCTGCTAGCCCACTCCTCCAGCCTGTCCAGGGCTTCCTGGAAGGTAGCTCTCCCTTCTGAAGATGACTTACTTGCAGGACATGACTCACTGCACCCTTATCTGCCATCTGGTAGATAAACTGTGCCTGGAAGTTCTCTTTTCTCACTCCTGGCTATCAAGGTGGTCCACATATCCAGCTTGATGGAGAACAGCTGAAATTAAGCATGAATCTTAATTAAGATGAAATTAAGATGAATCTTCCACCTGCCCTGGCAGGGAGGCTAGACGCTAGGACTGCAAACATGGAATTGAAAGAGGGAGCATTAGGAAAGAAGGAGAGTTGTTCCTAAGCCAGAGAGAGGGAGGAAAACTAGCCCGAGGACAGCCCACTGCATACAAGCGGAGAATGGGGAACATTTGTTTTTCTTATTCTTGTGTTTCTGAGTGTTTATAACCTTCTTGGTTCTGTGGTAAAGCCACAGAGCTCTCAAACTCTTTAAAGGCAACCACTGCATGGTATTGTAGCAGAACATAGAGTGTGGTTTTGAGACTACCATACATGAAAGCCTTGTTCTGGAGTGTGTGACATTTGGGTTTTGAATAGGTTTGGCTACATTTTTGCTTAAATCTGTGACTTCAGTAACACCTGCCTCTCTGGTATTTTCATCTAAAGGGAAAAACACATTACTGAGAAAGAAAATTGGCTTTTTAAACAGCATAAAAAATTCAGATCTGTCTCTTTGTCTGGAGCTTTCTCAGCCTTGCCATTTGTTGGGTTCAAAGGGCAGTAGAGAATATCCTTTCTAAAAAATAATTGAACTGGCTGACAAGCTGACAGGACTGCCCCAGTCTCGGGTAACAGTGAGAAGAGGTCTGGTGGGACTCTCTTGATTTCATATATGGCTTGAGGACTCTTCTTATTTGACTTGTGGCATTAGCATGGTCATTGAGCTTTTCGCCAGAGCTCCCAAGAGGGAGATGGAAATTATTTGTGGCTATTGATGACTTTTCTGGCTTTGTAATGCATGAAACATTTTTTTTTTTAATAAAGAGGGAGGTATATTCTTTTTCTGTGGGCTTGCACTTTAAAAGTGGAGAACATAAAGAAAAAGCAACAGATGACAGAGTGCAGCTACCCTGGCAGGGCTGGAACAAGGAGTCAAGTCATGGAAGAACTTTGGAAATGTGAGTTTTGGAGAAGCACTGGAGCACATGAAGCAAAGACTCAGTAAGATGAGTTGTTCCAAGTTTCAGGACCAGGGTCAGGAGACCACAGAATCACAGCATGTTCGGAGTTGGAAGGGACCTCGAAGGATCATCCAGTCCAACCCCCCTGCCAGAGCAGGGTCACCCAGAACAGGTCACACAGGAACACATCCAGGAGGGTTCTGAACGTCTCCAGAGAAGGAGACTCCCCAGCCTCTCTTGGCAGCCTGTGCCAGGGCTCCATTACCCTCACAGTAAGAGGTGTTCCCTTATGTTTAGGTCAAACCTCCTGTTTTCAAGTTTGTGACCATTGTCCCTTGTCCTGACACTGGACACCACGGAGAAGAGTCTGGCCCCATCCTCCTGACACCCACCCTTGCACTGATGAGATGGAAAACATCCAGAAGATGGGCTTTGAATACAATTAATGCAACAGGAAAAACAGGAGAGACAAAGCTAAACATTGAGAAAGAAGGCAGGGAGACAAAAATTGCAACTCTGAAGGCAACAGTAAGCTAGGTCAAAGGTAGTGACTTCCTAGCAGAAGCTAAAGAGTGCATATTTTTCTGTGGTAAAAGACACCTCATCCCTCATGAGGCAGGGAGACAATTTCTCTATGTTAAGGCAGAATCCCTGTCCATAACATCTGCTTTTCCTCAGCAGGATCACAATTTTTAAACAAATTTTTTAACTTTTTTTTTTGTTGTAGCTGTATATTGGGCATTTTGCTGCTGAGGGCCACTGTAGTTGGAAGGTTTATAAAGGTATTTGCTCTCTGGTTGACCTTAGAAGAAACATTTGTACGTGTTTGACAACTTTAATTTATTCTGCATTGCATTTTAAAACCATGGGAGCAAGCCCTAATATGCAAGTATAATGGGAAAGAAATTCCTCTCATTTGAATGACTGAGATCTGGTACCCATCTTGTGTGAATGAAATTCAGTTGAATGAAATTCTTCCTTTTGTGAGTTTTAATCCTTTTCAGGTTTAACTTGCAAATCTATTCAATGTGTTCCTGTAAGATGAATAGCAAGATGGAAAGGTCAGAGGAGCACAGAACAGGATTTATCTTGTATTTGACCCTTGCCTAGCATACTTCAAGTCTCATCCATGCCTGCAGCTTCTAGGAGCTGCTGCTGTGCAGAGTAAATCAGATAAATGTGATGCTTTTCAGAAGAAAATCAGCATTTCTCTTTTCTACTTTACCACTAAGGTGTAGTTTAATTTACACTAAATGAATGATCACCCCTATGCCTTAGTTTCCCTGGGTATATACAAATATCAGATGACTCTTCCCTCTTGAAGCACTTTGAGATCTACCAGTGAACCTTCTCTGTAAAACAAAGGCTTTTTATTTTCTTTTCCCCCTAATTATATTTATTCCTGGTAGCTGATTTTGCCAGAAACCCTCTTGCAAACACCTACAGCATCTACAAAATTACAATTGCATTGCTGGGAGAAGCTGAAAAGCCTAAAGTGAAATAACACTAATAGCACTGTATGTGCCAGGACATAGTTGATTTTTGATGAGTTTGACCTAGCCTCTTTCCTGGTTCTTTACTCATGACTGTTCCCAGGTCCCCTTGTTGATCCCCGCAAGGGATTAAAATCAATAGGTCTTGCAGTCACAAGGCATCTCTACAATAAAATAACATAAATTGGTTAAAAGTAGTGTTTCCACTTTAGCATATTATTTAGGGGGCTGGTTAGCTCAGTCAGTTGAGCATAGCGCTAACAACACTAAGGTTGCGGGTTCGATTCCCGTTCGGTCCCCATGTGTTGCCTGATCTAGTCAAGAGGTGGCGTCCCTGGCGGCAGGGAGGCTGGATTAAAATGATCTCTAAGGTCCCTTCCAGCTTAGGCCATTCTATGAGGATATGAGGATTTGCAGGGAGAAATAATAATTAAAAAAAAAAAAAGTTCTGTTTAAACGTTAGGAGAGATATTGAAAATAAATACAGGAAGCTGAGGAAAGAAGAGCTTAGTGATACAGTGAATCTCTTCTCAGTGGTGCCCAGCAATAGAACAAGAAATAATGGGTTTAAGTTAGAACATGGGAAGTTCCACCTCAACATGAGGAGAAACTTCTTTCTTGTGCGGGTGCCGGAGCCCTGGCCCAGGCTGCCCAGAGAGGGTGTGGAGTCTCCTGCTCTGGAGACTTTCAAACCCACCTGGATTGTTCCTGTGTGGCTGCCCTGGGTGATCCTTCCCTGGCAGGAGGCTGGTCTAGATGATCTCTAAGGTCCCTTTCAACCTCGATCATTGTGTGACACTATGATTCTGTAATTCTATGAAGAATGCAGTGCTATGCATTTGTTAATTCTTCAGAGAATTAAATCTGCTCTAACACCCCTCTTTTTTTTTTCCAAAACCCAGAAAGATTTCTGATAAACGAGACTTGCTAACAAAAAATCTCACAATGCATCCCAGGCACAGTAATAAAGAGAATGTGATACAGGGGACTTGACTCATCCCAGAACTGACCCTATTTACATATCCCTGGCTGAACCTCTCGCAGCCACGTTCTCGCCCGCAGCACTTAAGGCTTGCCCTGAGCACTGGCACTTCGTTTGACAATGAAAATGCCCCGTGAAGGAAAAGAGGTTTACTGGCAAAATACTTGAGCAAGAATAAAATCACCTGGGGGTTAAACAGTTGGGAAGGTACGTTGTGTATTAATGAGTTCAGTTATAAGCAACACTGTGTTCCTCTGGGATGCCCAGCCTGGAGTAAAATTCGCAGCCCTGATAAAAATGATCCATCAGCAGTTACGGTGCTGTTGCATCTGAGAACCTGCCTCAGGCTTGTATCTGCTCATCCCTCTGAACCTGGACATCAGCAGCAGATGTAGAAGGAAATATCCCATTTACTCTGTGGAGCACTGAGAATGCAAGATGTTTTAGTTGTTTTTTTTTCCCCCCTCTGAACAAACCAGTTTAAATTCAAATACGCTAATACATCGCCAGACCATTTCTCTACGCACACACTTGTCACAATAAATAAGCCAAATGTAAGCAGTATCACAATTTATAAATGTGCAAAATTATACTGAATGGATTAGCTGCCTCGGTTCACAGTTTATAGGTACTGCTGGCTGGGAGGCGTGGCTGAAAGAATACTCGGTATCTATAGTACCCAGAGCAAACTTGGGTGGCACCTGTTATCTAATGGCATTGTCATCAATTTTACCTGCAGAAGTACTGACATTTCAGTGTCTATTTTTAGACGTTACATGCAAAATGGAAAAAAAAAAAAATTCAAAGAGCTACCTAAGCTGCACAAGGCTGCTTTGATCTGCCCACTCTTCCAGCAATGGACGTATGTTACTCAGAGAAAAAAATACCCTGTAGTGCTCTGGATTGTCTGCCAGCTGATGGCTTGTGGGCACAGAAGCCATTTGTCTCATTTCCTTAGAATCACAAATTCCTTAAGCTCGTAACATCTCCTCTTACCTGAAAGGAGTCAGGATGTTGTGGACATCCTCCGGCAGCCACTACAAAAAGGGCATCATATTTTCCCTCCCCAAAAGGCAGAAATAGTCTTTTACCTGGCTTGTTCCCCGTGACAAATCCAAACAAGAGCCACATCAAAAGGCACTTGAGCTCCATGGGACTTGTTCACATCTTTTCTCCGCGACGCTGAGGATGGTGAAGCTTCGCAGAAGCGATGGGCTGGTACCGATCAAGCCAAGGAGCTGTCTACTGCCTGGTTAGACCAGTGAGGATCATCACCCTTGTGTGCACGGCAAGGTCTTTGCTCTTTGTCAGCAAATTGTTTTGCTGGCTGGCTCGGCAAGAGAGAGTAAAGGCTCCTCTCTGTTCAGGTATTAGTAGATTTTATCCAGGAAATCAGACTTCAGTGCTCAGTGTCGGGGAGCGTGCCGTCTCGCGGAGGAAGTGGTTTGACACATCAGAGCTACTGACTCCAAAGCTATGCCACTACAGCTTAGGTCAGTAGAAGGGGAGAAAGTTTTAATGGGTTTGTGCAGCCACTCAGCCCAAAATCTGTAGTTGGACTGGCATTTGAGAGGGACCATGGCTGTAGAATAATTGTCTAGTATGTGACAGTGGAATTCATCATCATCTGTGGGCTCTACCTCCAAAGAGAATATCCCGTGGGGTATTATTTTGGCTTTCTGGAGGTCTGCTAATAATGATAAAGCCACATGCTATTCGTTTTTTGAGGTATGCTTGTTTGCAGTTTCTCTGAGTGGCAGCTGAGCTGGACAATTTGATCAAAAGCATCTACGAGGATGAGGCTGACAGGTTTGGAAAGGGTTTGCCTTGCTCCTAAATTCTCTGGATTTGCCATGCTTCACTGAAATTGGTTCTTACAAATATCAGTCAAAACCTGGAAATTATCAAGGAAGTATCACACTTTATGTAGCTTTTCTTCAGCCATTTCCACAGGCATTACTATTTGTTAGTACCTAGAGAATTAGTTAAGATAGACTATGGAAAACTAGATTTAAACTATATGTGGTATTCTATCATGATGATTACACGCTGGATATTTACTTCTCTTTATATATCCTTAGTGAATGAAAACTTCCTAACGAGCATGCTAAGAAACAGATATTTTTAAATGTCCTCACGGCCACGGCCATCACTCATAGCCACCGATTCGGAGGATGCTGTGTCAGTATCTCCTTTCCTCGCTATCAGAGGAGCCACCCTCTCCTTCCCTCACACCCCTAAGGGTGATGGTCCTGTCAAAGGCAGCTGACACATGGAAACTTCTTCTGGGCGCGACCCAAAACAGACATTTTGAGGGTGAACGATACCATATCTATGGGAGGGTGCACAAACGCGTGTCTTCTCCCCCAGCATGTGAAAAGGTGCAAACAAGACTTCAGGCAGGGCTCCTGAGAGCAGCAGACGATGTGACAGCCCCTGCTCTTTCTTCTGAGAAGCTTCTGTGCAGCTGCACTGATGCAGGTGACAAGTCTTTCTGAAGGGTGTGTTGGCAATGAGGCTTTGGCCAGGACATTACTGCCCAAACCCGAATGCAACAGGGCACAGAGAACAAGTAAGAGTTCTAGAACAACTGCTGTGGGTAAAATGCTGCTCACCCCGAGGCTGCTCCACACTCCACAGGTATTTACTGCCTTTGCTTTAACACAACATCGTTTTCCATGTTTAACAGGGTAATAGTAAATACCTGTGCCAAAGCCCACTGAAGGATGTTGAGAAATTTGCACTTGAAACATCTGTCTGAAAGTCAGAAACCCCAATGTTTCTTTTTTTTTCCAGGGTTGATAAAATGTATTTATTACATTGCCCGTCAAGAAATCCCAGACTATTTATCACAATTTGTCCTTCCCCTACTAAACATGGCGTCTGTTCTTTGGAGGCACAGGTGTTTTACTCCCTAACATGTCCTTCTATTTCTTGCCTGGTCAAGTTATTTAATATTTTTATCTATTTTTATGATGGAGACAGAGATGGGGAACCTTTTCTGTAGTCCTCCAGCTCAGTCTTCCTCTATCAGCTGTTCAAAATCCTGCTGACCAGTTAACGATTGCAGACCCTGAGCAGAGGACAGCAGTTTGAACTACCGATGCAGATTCAAGCTGAATTTTTCCTTTGGCTTAAAAAAAAAAAAAAAGAAAAAGGTCTTTTTTCAGCAGGTGAGCTGAGATGTGCCCCTTCTTTCCTGCAGCCATTTGCTTCCAAGCAGCAAATCTCTGCGTAGGTGGATAATAGCCGCTACGATTTTACTAGAAATGGTGAGTTTTTATCCTAGCAAGAAAATGCAAAGCACAGTCGTTTGTACTGGAAGGAACGGTGACCCCAGGTGGCTTATTGCTACAAGCACAGTTTGCATGAGAAAGACCCGTAGCTCGGCATTTAGACCTTTTAAAGGTCAGAAAGAAACCGGTTACTGCTTGTGAGAGCAATTAGTTAGGTCAGCTTTGTGAAATAGGTCAGCTTGCTGACCTATTCCAGGAAAAACCAGTGCTGCTTCTGCAAGCAACTGGCCCAAAGCAGAGCGTGGCAGAGAAGGGGAGGGTGAGAGCAGAGGGACCCAGCAAAGGTGAAAGTTACGTAAGCACAGAAAAAAAACAGGGTTTACAAGAAAAAAAAAATACAAAAATAGCGGTGTAATTTAGATTATTAACATTAGATGCTAGCAACAGAGATGTGTGGCAATGAAGGAAGGTGCTGTGAAAACTCAGTAGAAGTGATGGAGGGAGATAGGAACATCTTGAGCATCTAGAAAAGTGGAGGGAAGGGAAGAAGATGCTGGTGTCTCTGTTGCGTGCTGACTTTCTTCCTTTGATCCCTGAAGTTTTGCTGCTCAGAGAAGTTCTCTCTTTTAGCGGAGAACTATGAGGAAGAGAGCTTGTCACATGGCCCACATCACCACAGACAAGATTGTGAAGATTATTTTTATACAATGCCACAAGACCGAGAAACATGCACAAGTGGAGTTGCCAAGGAGTAAAACACAGACACAGCTCCAGCCTTCTTTGGATCTAGGTTTAAAAAGGGCCTTTTAATATCCTGCAAGTGCTTTTAAAACTCTTAGTGCACAAACTCGTTTGGTCTGGAGGTCTGAGGGGTGGAGGCTGTAAGCAGATTTTATACTGTGTCTGGTACAGTTTAATGGAAAAAAACCAGAATTCTTCAGAAGGTGGGGAGAAAACAGAAATTCATAGAGGTTTGTATCAAGATGTCCTGTGGCTTAGGAGACGTGTCTCATTTACATTGCCATCTCAAATAAAACTGAGTGGCATTGAATTTTCAGTTGAGCATTGCTTATTTTATAAATCCAATAATGCTGCAAGCAAAACCAAGCTGGGTTAAAGATAGGACAACTCTATGATCTTATTGCAACCTTTCCCACTTCCAAGGGGTGGTAAATATCCACATAAATCACTAAAACCAGCAACCTTTATGGTTTCTTTCTTTAACTCAGCTGTTTTGTTGTGAATCACTCTTACACGAGTCCTGTATTCAAGGGAATAACACTTCACATGAACCTTACTGGGAAGGTGTGAGAGTGGTTCTAATAACAAACTAAACTCTGTTAATCAGTATATTGCTTATATGTCCTTGGAATTATGGTAATGGTGCTTGCAAACTCACATTTTTTTAGGAAATGCACTGGGAATTTTACCTTAAGCATGGGATACAGTGCTACTCTGCACTGAGGAGCTGAAGCTCAAAGAGTGAGATTTTGCACTTAAATAGGCCCCTCTTGGCTTTATTTATGGATTACATAGGGGACTATGCTTAGTAGTTTCAAGAAAAATTATTAAAGATGCTATGCACAAGGGCCTTTCCCATCCTCCATGGCAGCATCCAGCTCCAGTGCAAAGCAGAGGTATGAGGAAGCCCTAGATATGCCACATGCTAGAAAGGATCATCAGAAATTTTTGCACCCAACCCAACTATTTACAATGGCCAAACTGTTTTTAACTGCATTTTATTCCCCATTAAAATGTGACTGAGCTGACGTGAGGCAAATCCTGCAACTTAAATGGGGCGTGTTTGCAAGGTCAACAGGAATTTAGGTTCGAGTCGAGAGAGGGTTGTACGGTCAACATAGTTGTCAAAGTTCCCCCTTGAATCGATGGAGAGAGTCAACAAGTGTATCTAGAGAGTGATTCACCACCTCTTCTGGGCATCTACACCTACCGGATGAATCACCCATCCGAACCTCTCTCCCTCATCTGCAGACAACCGTTAAACCAGCATAACTAGTTTAAACCAAACACAGGTCTTTTAGATGAGACAAATCCATCCTGAAAATCCATACTGAATCTGAAAAGAGAATTTAAATTGCTTTTTTAGTGACTGATAACAGTCTTCCTTGTTAAACATCCAATTCACCATATCCCTCATCTCCATGATGCCGTTAACCTACCCACATCCCCTCCCTCTCCATGTCGAGCAGTCCTAGACCTTTGCTGTCTCCGTGTAAAGCAACTGCTCCATCCCCATGAGCATTTCAGCTGTCCTTCTCTGGACTTTCTCCAATTCGACTATGTCCTTTTTGAGACCCAGAGACCACAATGGCACCAGCTACCCTACATGTAGGCCCACCAAGGTTTTGTATGGCAACAAGGCGATCTTCTCCGTCCTGTTCCTAGTAACAACACCCAGCATTGAGTTGGCGTTTTTGGCGTTGGTGCCATTCTCCAAAGTCATCGGGTTAGCATGCAGCAACAACTGAAACAGCCCCTAGTATTTCCCTGTGGGAATCAAACACCAAGTACATTGTTATTACAATAAAACAACATCTAATGAGCAGATCTGGAGGAGACTTCCTTTTTTAACTTATTCTGCTCAGAATTAGTCAGGGTGAGCTCCCAGCTTATGTGAAAAACTCTTGATATATCTAGTTTTCATGTAGTGCTCTCACAACTCATTAACACAGCCATGCCTAGACTGGGTTCTTTAATACCTCCTTGTGCAAATACAGCTGCATGGTACAGATAACTTTCTTCCACAGATATTCTTATTTGCAGTCATCGTTCCTCTGGCCTGAGCAGAAAAAATTCAGGACCTTAAAATAAACTGATAAATGAGGTATTTTAATGCATGATCATATTTGCCCTTTTTATTACCATCAAGTAACAGTTAATGAAGTACACTTAGTC